GTGGAATTGGGAGACGAAAGCTATAAATTGTACTGATGCAAAAATTGGTGGCTCATTTTAGTGCGGATCAAAAGCTTGTGTCAAATTGTCATACTATGACTCCGACAAGCTCGTTCTTGTGGCAGCAGATAATGATGCGATCTTGCTTACTAGCAACTATGAAATTGTTCGTTATAAGAATAGTATTGAGTCTCAGACTCCCCAGGAAGCTATCATTTCAGAAACTGTCGACACAGAGAGTGTTCATAAAGATTGACGCTGTGTCAATAGTCAGTGGTAGAATTCTCATATGGTCTCTACTCACCAAACATATCCATTAGTTAAACGTCGTTTGTGCGAGTTTTTGTGCCGTTCGAATGCGAGTCCAGCTATTTTTCTTTGCCACACTAGACAAATTCTTTTCATTAGGACCATTATCACTGCCTCGTCAAAACTTAAATTGAATCCTCTAATCAGACGAAGTTCAAAGATAAAGAAGTTACTGTGTTCTGAAAACCTAAATACTTTTGTTTCTATAGAAAGCTTGCACATTGAAGCAAATTTTTTATATAGCGTTTTATAAAGATTTTGTTCTGGCTAGTCTATCCTTGTAATAATGAAGTTTTTTTTTCTATTTGTAGTCTAGTAGTTAGCGTGAAATGAGGCTATTATTTTTGTAATTAGCTCACGAGCTGAGCTGCGTTCAGCTCCTGGTTTGAAAGAAAGAAAGAAAGGAAAATTCAATTTCTTTTTTTGTTTTGATCATTTGAAAGATGGGGAGGAGCTTTGTATTCGGGTGTTTTTTCTTTCGTTTACTTTTGAGCGCTTAAAGCAACCGTGTAGGCTTATTTACGGTTATTTACAGCCTTTTTGAGTTTACAACAGCTTGTTTATGCTTAATTTCAGTTCCTGTTTCATAAAAACAGGTATTATGAAAAAGTTGATGGGATCGCGTTTTTTTATTTCTTTTTGAGACGCTTTGCAGTTTTTTTCCTTTTTCTGTAACCGATTTAAAAAATGGTAAGAATGAAAAAAAAACCTGCTCCGCTGGGTGCTTGCATAATCCCCTAGTCTCTTTCGTACTACCCATTCTACTGTGAGGAGAATATTTGACACAAACAATTAAAGAAGATTTTGGATTTTGTTTTCATTTTCTCATAAACTACCCTCATAAATCTGAAGTTTAAGTTAAATGGATAGAGCGGGTTGTGGGATGCTCCCCTGCCTAAGCGGCTACGCCCAATTTTTTATACACAAAAAGTTATGGACCTCGGAATATCGATTTTTTGGTTTTTTTTAACCGTTTTTTGATAGTTTTTGACCTTGCTCAAAAGTCATCCTCCCATATATGAGATTTTGCAATCGATAGGAAACGTTGGAGTGAAGTCCAAATTTTTTAATTACCTATTTCATCCCACTTCAGTAAAACAAATTCAAAAATTGTCAAACAGGTACATTCAGCTGTAGCTGGGCCCCTAGTTTTCGAGTTGTTTTTGTTCAGCCAAATAGATCCCTTCAACATCCGAGTCGGCTAGTTTTCCTCTTATCGCAACGTGTCAACTGTCTTTGATATTTACCCCCGCGACGCTTTTAGCAGCGGGTTCGAGACAGTTATCCATTTTTTTTTTCAAAAGTTATTTCAATGCACAATTTGTGTGCTAACTTTATTAAATCTTTATTTTTTGCTGATATAGCCCTGTGTGCAAATTTAAAAATCTTTTTAATCTTGATTACTTTTCGAAAAGTTGTGGAATTCAGTAAACTTGTTTGTTTTTTATGCGCGCGCAAGAGCGACTTCTTTAAGTGCGATCTTTCAATCAATCTAGAGCGATCATTTAGTCATTCCAACTTGAATTTAGGCAATCAATGGTTCAATATTCTCGAATGTTTTTGAAGTATTTTTTTTGAGATTTGATCTTTTTGTCATTTTTGCTTCTCTTTACTGATTGCATATAGGAATGCATTAATTTTCTGTATACTTTCAATTATTTCCTTTGAGAATATCAAGCGAGAATTGACCCGGGTTTTGTGTAATGAAATCTAAGCTGTGTGGATAGCTACATTTGGAAGACCGATGAATTGTAGATTCTTAGGACTAGTTTTAGAGGCGTCTCCTGCTCTCTCCGTTATAGAATGTAAAAATGGAGGGAACATTTTAATGCTTAATTCTTCAAATTGGAATTTAAGTTTAGAATGTCCTACAGTATAGATGATTAACTGTTGATCCACGGAGGGAACGTTTTGATGCTTGTTTCTTCAAATTGGAATTTAAGTTTAGAATGTCCTACAGTATAGATGATTAACTGTTGATCCACGGAGGGAACATTTTGATGCTTGTTTCCTCAAATTGGAATTTAAGTTTAGAATGTCCTACAGTATAGATGATTAACTGTTGAAAAATGTGTTTTGTGTTGTTTTAAACAGTCTTTTTGCAAGCAAGTGGTACGAAGCTGCGCTGCCTTCTCTTCAAAGTTCGTCATGTCAGTTCTGACATCTAATGATACAAAAATGGTATTTTGATTCAAATGTAGTGTGATTCGGCCATTGTTTTATCTCAAGCTGAAATATTTTTCCAGATAATATGTTTTGTCATGGATGTTTTGGAAGCTTAAAATTATTTTTTGATACCATCTTTACCTTCACCCAGTGATGATGATGATTCTGAAATTGATTCCGATCCAATAGTGAGTGCTATGGCTGAGAGCGAACTTGAAGCGGAAAGTGTTGGTCCAACCAATTTCAAGTATCCTCGGAATGATTTTGTTCCGGAAACTGAATCCGGACCATTAATTAATCAATGTGAATCTTGTTCAGAAGAAACTGAAACGGATAATCTGTTCAAATGTTCAACTTGTATATCAACGGCGGATCTCTCGGGTACTCCACTGTACTATTGTGATACGTGTATTATTTTTCTTCATGTGAAGAAAGGTCATGAAATACTTGACTATAATTCACTCAAGCCTGAAATATGTTCTAAGCACAAGATGATGTGTTCATTGTTTTGCACAAGCTGTACAGAAATTCATTGTACAAAATGTGTTCCGAAACATACGAATCACAGTATCATGTCGCTGAAGGAGAAGTCTTCCGAAGTTCGTTCCAAAATTTTCGAAAAGTTGTCGGAGTTGCAAAACAGCGAAAGTTGCGTCAGAGAAACAAAAGAACGTCTTTTTGAGAATCGGGATTCATACACAGTTGGATATGAAATTTTAGTGCAGAAGATTTCATCAGAATTGGACAAAGTTAAACAAACTGTACTAAATCGAGTCAAAGTTGAGTATGACAAAGTCATGAGAGCTGGGAAAGTATCTGATGATAATTTGGAACTGCTTTTCAAAAGTGAAAAAGAGCTGCGTGGCTTACTCTCCCAATCAAATGGTCTTATGGTCACTAAGTTCCCGGAAATTAGTTTACAAGTTAGGGCTGTTCATGAAACTCAGCAAAACTTAGTTAGCTTTGAAGTCGAAGACATTGAGCACAAGTTTGAGGCAAATGGATTCGAAGCAACCGCGCAAGACTTCTTGAAACAATGCTTTGAAAGAATTCAGATGCCTCTACTGAAAAATATCAGTGAGCCTGAAATTTTGAGCGAGGTTTCAGATAATCAATTTTTGGATCAGAATGTGACAAGATTGAACTTATCGGACGATCATTTCGTCTATCTCAGTGGTCATGAAAGTATATACAGCATCTGTGCAGTGAAAAAAGAAGTGTTTGTATATGAACATGAGTTTGTCGAAAGTGGAAATTTTGGTGTGATCCAAGCCAAGCCTCCAAGCCAATGCCAATTCGGAGCTGCATACGGAAGTGCCAGTTCCTCTATGTGGTTCAATCCACCACGCCAAGCTCAAAGATCTACAACGAGAGCATCGTTGAGCAACTCGGGCTACGTTTTAATGCAAAGACGTGCAGTGGGAAAGTACACGTGCACAGAGAAAATAAAACAACTCATTGTTTATCCTCATTTGTCCTCAGATACAATTTATATTTTGACGGATCAGTTCGATTTGGTTTTTGAAGTCAAATCCAAGTCCTTTAGTTATTTCAATCTAGATGACAATTCATATCGGGACAGTTTGTTAGTGATAAGTGGCGATTCTAAGTATGAATATAAATGGAATTGGGAGACGAGAACTATAACTTCTGCATATGCAGCAGCTGATGGCTCATTTCAGTGCGGATCAAAACCTGTTGTCAAAATGTCATACTATGATCACAGCTTGACACAGAGCACTTTTGTGATTTTGACAGCAGATAACGATGTGGTCTTGCTTGTCAACAAAGTGAAGTTAGGTAAGCCGATTGACACGAATAGTCAGCGTCAAACCCCAAACAACACTCTTCTCAGCGTCAAACCCCAAACAAAATCCTCCTTTTCTTGGAAATGTAGTATGCATTCACAAAGGGTCAGAGAGAGTGTTCACAAAGTGAAACAGATTGACGCTGTGTCTATAGTCGATGGTTATATTCTCATTTGGTCTCTGCTCACCAGAAATATCACCATCCTTAATTCCAGTAATTTTACTGTGGCTTGCGTTGCGCCGATCCAAGCTGAGCTCAATTATTTTTCAATACCATTCCTTGGACCTGATATTGAATTCCTCGTGAAAGCTAAATTTGAAACCTCTAAAAACAAGTTCGAATATAAAGAAGTTTTTATGGTCAGAAAAGTGAAAAATGAAACTTTGTAAATATAAACAGCTTGTGCATAACTGAAAATATGTTATATAGAGTTACACATTGTTGAGCATTTCAAATAATTTCATTGTCATGAGAAAGGTGTTCTTGTGAGTCTATCCTTGTAATAAATAATAAAAATTTAATCTATTTGTTAACTACTAGTTACTATACTAAACTACTACACGTAGTGAAACGAGGTTATTATTTGTAATTAGCTCACGAGCTGAGCTCCATTCATTTGCTGATTTGAAAGAAAGATTGAAATTATGTTTTCCCTGCTCTGATCTAAACATGCTTAGTGCTAAATAAAGAACCCTAATTCTGTTTTTTTTTTTTTCAGATGTAAATATGGTGGAAAACACTGCCTCTTTCAAACTACTCCAGGATGGGTATGAAGGAGTGGCTCTGACAAAAATGTTCCCCGCTAAGGGATTCTACCCCTCTACATCCAGTGGGGGTGGGGCATGGTATGCGGCTAAACTACTAGACGAGCAGCAGAGGGTGGGAAAGGAGAGTAGAGAGACGGTAAATTACTTGTCATTTTTTGACAATTCATATGATGGTTTTCAAGACTCAGTTGCAATTTTGGTGTTTGTTTGGGTTGCATGTTTTTTAGTTGTATTTTTTGTATCAATTTCATAATATTTTCTCTATGGATATGGGCAGTGTTCACAAGTTTTGGAACGTTATCAAAACGAGCTTTCAGATGCTACAAAACTTATGACCAGGCTTACAGGTGTCGAAAGTGTCGTCCGCCTCATCAAGGTGGGACCTGCTACAATGAATTGGATGACACCAATTTCCCCGACGGAATAAAGGCCCTAGTTAGAAAGGGAGATGTAGGTCTAGAGGCTAATAAAAAAACGAAAGGTCTTAAGCTGTTGTTTGTTAAAACTTATTATTACTCTATGAGTAATACCCGGAATACCACTCCGTGTAGATGTCGAATCCGTCTAATGAATTTAGTCATATATATATTGTCCTACTAGTAAATGTAAATAGCCGTACTATGCTTCTTATGTGCTAAACCATATATATTTGGTTTAGCACAAAAATATATGGTTTCGAAAATAATAAATATAAAATATATAATCCGGACGGATCACAGCTGTGGTAAATTGGGCCTGATATGAAGTTCTATCTACTGTTCAATTGTTTGCTCTTTTTAACGTGTCGTGGATTTGGGTCTTGGATTAATTTAAATCGTTTTTTTTTAATTCAGCCAAATTGAGTTTCCAAGCTGTTCAGTATATTTGTAAGAAAAAAAACGTTCCGGAAACATGAGTTTTGGCTGCTTTTTTGTGAAATTTTAGCCTAAAAAATGCAGTTTTGGGCTAGACTTTTTCTTAAGTTGTTTTTTATTGTTTGCAAATAGTAAAATTGGTGTCACAAAGAGTTTAGGGTATAGGGTCAGTCTGAGTCCTAAAGGGTGTCCGAAGGGGGTACAAATGGTTCTTCAAGTAAGTGGCGAGGGAGTCGAACTCCTGTTATGGAATTTCACCACTCCTAAAATTCGCTACTTCTCTGTCGGAATATATGAGTTTCTATGATTTTTCTGCTTTGAATAGTTTAGCCACTTAATTGGTCAAAAATTGATGATTTTTAGGTTAATTGGTGTTTTTGATATGATTTTTTTTGCTTATATGTGCAAAAAAATAACGACTTAGAAAAAAAAGAAACTTAACGACGTTGAAATGAGCATTTTAAGAGCATAATTAACTTGGTTCAGACTCGTTGAGCTAAAAGAATATGGCCAACAATTTGGCATTGCCAATAATTTTATTGTGTTCACTTCTATAGGCTCTTCAAGTGCGCAGTTATTCTCGTCTGAAGAAGGAGAGGGTAAGAATGGCCAAACTGAAGAGACTGTACGAGCAGGGACAGATGGATGAGAATGAGATGCCGATTGAAGAGACTCAGAGTCAAGTTGACGAGAGGGAGACACACTTGGACGGGTTCTATTTGGTGAGTTATGACACCCTGACACCCCCCCCCCCCCCCGCACACACACACAAACACACGAACATGCACAAAGACACTTTTTATGATACATATTACTTTAAAGGAACGGTTCCTTTCACGCTCAACGGTTAAAGATATGCAAATTTTGTATTTGGTAACAAAAAGTTTTGGCAATAGAGTAGTGGGGTTGATAAAAATGCTTGTGCCATGACATATCCATGACCATTCCATGGCATAGCTTTTCGAGCTAAGCATGGACCTCCGAATAGTTGACATGGGTGTTTTGATGAAGATGGAATTGTCTTTTTTTTCAGTTGCGCACCCATGGAGTGAGTGACCCTGGAGATTTGAGTGCCATCGACATCTCCGCAAGACCACTCGAAACTGTTAGTCCTCAAAGTTTTTATGGCTACTGGTTGTATTTTAGTGTTCATTCTTATGAACAAATATAGGGACGGCTTAAATTGGAATTTTACGATCAAAATGGCGATAAAGGCGTCCATAATGAAACCTGTTTTCAAAGCCTGAAGGTTCTCGCCTTAAATTGACTACATTCCTCCCGGAGAAAAGTAAATATACTTGTGTAACTATCGGAATCTTTTTGAATATTTTTGCGTTTCTTTGGAGTCTTGTAAACAAATGTTTGTAATTATAGCGAGTAGTTCATTTTTTTGTTATGTTTTAGGCCAATGATGAGGATATGGAGTTATTTGAGAATGTTATTTACATCAATGCAGCTGAGACTCTGCTACCATTTGGTAAAAAAATATCTCATTAAAGGTTTTAACTTAATAGTAAAGTTTAGTACAAAAAAATCAGTTATAAGCATCACCGACGAAACTTTTAAACATCACCGACAAAACTTTTAAGCATCACCGACGAAACTTTTAAGCATCACTAGAGGGCTTGAGAATTAGTTTTAGTGCGTAAATGGGATACTTAACAATATCTTACAATATTAAGTATCACGTTTACGTACTAAAACTAATTCTGAAGCCGTCTATATTTCTTTGAGATCTCGATAAGAATCTTGCGGTGTTAAGTATCATCGAATCTCTTCCCAAATACCTGATCGATTAGTTAAGCTTACGCTAATTTTTCATCTAGTCAGTTTTTCGACTCGAGTATGTGTTGTCTCCAAGCATGTAATATCAATTAACCCTTAAGTTAATTTCTTTTTCCCAGAAACCTTCAACCACTTCCCCTCCCTCCGAGAACTAGAGACCCCCCTGTGCGCCATCAGATCCATCCGAGTCAACATGAACGACTTCGACTGTCTCGAACTCCTAGACCTCTCCTACAACAACCTCTCGCCTGAAGATGTGGCTTCCCTCTCTATTCTGCCCAAATTGAAGGCACTGTACTTGACAGGGAATGAGTTGACCTATCTGCCGGAGTCACTTTGTTCCAATGTCAAGTTCAAGTCGTTAGTATATATAGTTTGCTGGATTAACTTGATTTCGAAATAGGAAAACAACACTCCTGTTGTTTTATCTAGAAAATAATAGCTCAAATTCATATTTAAACCAGTACGTGCACATGTAAAAACAAATTTTTAAGCGAGCTACAGTTTTCAATCGTCATAATATGTTCTTCTTTTTTGTATAAACGCCGCAGAAAACCCATAAATACCGAAGGTTACGATTTTTCAACTGGCAAAAACGATGTTGAGAAAATTTTGTATTCTGTTTCAGAGATGAAAATTCGGCTGCAAGCGCAGTCGAAGTTGAAGCTTTCCAAAACTTGGAAGTTCTTCACCTAGACGACAACCGATTCCAAGACGCTAACACGATTGCGATCCTAGCTGGGCTAAGACATCTGAAATACCTTTCTCTGGATAACAACTCAATCAGCGCTGTTCCTCATATAAAGATCAAGAAAGGAAAGCCAATTGAAAGAGTTCACGTGAATGCGGTCGAATTCAACGTGAATGATAACGATGACGAATTAGACGATGACACAATCAGCGGCAAAAGTCAGAATCTTCTAGAAGGAATCGATGACATAACTGCGGCCAATGAAGGTTCATTGAGTGATGCGAAATTGACCAATAGTCTCACAGGAGTTGATTTGACTGCTAATTCTAGCGGTCAAAATGGAAACAAAGTCGAAGGGTCTATAGGCCGAACGATTCCAGAGGAAAGTGAATCAAACGAAGAGGGAACAGTGGTTCCGGTGAACAGTTTGATCAACTCCACAGGGGCAGAAAAGAGTGAAGGTGAAAGTCAAGAGCAGATTCTAACGGCGTTTGAAGAGTTGCGTATTTTCAGCATCGCAAACAACCAGGTAGGTGTAGTACTATAGAACTTGATTGTTTGAAAAATGAAACATATTACTTGAATTTTTGAAGTTTTTCTGTTTGACTGGACTTAACAGGAGATCATTTAATAAATTTCTTTGATAGCGAAACATCCCTCCTACTATTTTTGCCGTACACTTCAAAAAAAACTATTTTGTCAGCCGCATTTTAAACTAATTATTTGCGGGTGTTTGCTATTTAGACGGCGGTTTCCTGTATTGAAGATACAATAGCAATCCACTCAAAAGAAGAATTATTCCACTCAACATTTCAGAAAAAAAAAACAGTTTCAGAAGCACTAAGTTTTTGTTGAAGTCAAAATTTAGCAAAAAATGAAATTTTTCACTGGATAACTCGTAAGTGGTAATTAATTACGGAAAGTGTGGTGTGGATACGCTAAGGGTTTAATGGAAACCCACTTGGAGCTTACCCTGGTAAAAAATAAATTTAATCAACATGCTATCATCAGCTTTGAAACTTATTTAAGATTGAGGCTGATTTCTTATGTCTTAAATTGGTGTTCACAGAAGTCAAAAATTATTAGTAATCTATTTCCAACAAATCATGAAACTGTTTAACGATTTTTGCGCCTGTATTTGAGATTTAATATGAGACGATTCATGTCATGAATATAATGGAAAAAAAACTAAATAAAAAAAAAGAAATTTTGAATTAACGCCCCCCGTTTTAGACAATTTTTCGAGTTCCTGAAAATGACTATGCTCTTTGATGCAAAGTGAAACGACCCAAGGCTTTATACTGCTTTATCTTTCCCTTTTTTGTTTCAAGATTTTTCTCCTTTATTGCAATTTTTTAATAATTTTTTTGACTAAAATAAAACTATTTTTTGAATAAAACGATCTTTTGCTTTGAATCATAGTCATTAATTTTTCTATCGCAAATAGCGAGATGCTCAGATTCGTCTCTGTGTTTGAACAATCGTAATGTCCGTTTTTCTGTGCAGAGTGCATCGTCCTTTTTTTTCTGCGCAGATTGCGAGTGAGGACGGAGTGTTGCCTGTGGTGGGGTGGCCCATGTTGCAGCAGGTGAACATAGCGGGCAATCCACTGGTGGCCAAACACAATGGGGAGCCCCCTCTGCTGAACAGATACCTCACCAACAGACTAGGAATCACACTCAAACGGTAAACAAAACTTAGTTGATTAGATACATCATAAGATTTAATCCATTTGGGCTAGCTAAAACTGTTAGCACATGTACTATCCATATCAGAGGTAGGATCAATTAAGTGGTGTCAAATATGAAGAATATTCGAATTTCCAAATAGATATATCGATAAAGCAATCTGATTTGCACTCAAACGGTGAATTGAACTGAGTCGATTAGAAATGGATTAGAAAAGGCAATTTCCTGTGCAAACTTGGACAATAGCCACTCACAACTATGGCCAAGTTTGCGATGTTAAAATAGGAAACGGTTCGAATCTTTGAATATATACATCAGTAAAAGACCCTGGTCTCCACTGAAATGGCAGAGCATTCTGGATAATTGGATTCGATGCTTTAAAGTTAACTCAGGTTTGTCGTGCCAATTTGAACAAACAAATTGAAAATTTTGCCTCTTATTTGCTGAATTTAATTCCAATTTCGAGAAATAGTTGCGCAAAACATGCTCGAGCAAAACATGCGAGAATGGTTTTCAAATTGACCTTGTTTAGAAAAATGGATTGCGTATCCGAGTTCCGTGTTCTATTGAATATGATAATGTTCTTCTACCATTTAGTTTGATTGTGTTTAGATTTGACTTGCCACAGAAATCGAAAGTGCCTCACGATCCAATCATTGACAACCCGACATCGAAACCGCCTACTCACAGAAGGGTCTGTATTTGTCTTTTTCTTTGTAGTCTACTAATAATTGTTCTATATTTCTCGCTAGAATTAATAATGAAAAATAAATTGCTTCCCAACGATATCTACTTACGGAGTTTTTTAATTATCCTTGCGATAAGCAAGGGTTTTGTAATCGGGTACTAGACTTTTTCCCGTAAATAACTTTAGGCACAGGACTCTCTTTTCATCTGGACTAGTTTCCTAGAAGCCTCGGTTAGCAACAGATTTACCGCTACAAATTAATTTTTTCTGCATGTTACCATTTCAAACATCTATCAGATACGAATTTATCGCTTTATGTTGGTTTTAATTTAACCAACTCGTTTTGTTTAAATTTCATTTTTTGTTTTCTTTTTTTTTCGGCTTGTTAGGTTTCGGCGCTTTTTATATCGGCTTAGTGGCCTCATATCACATTGTATCGTTCGACGAGCGGATTTTGTGATTGTATGTGTTTTGAGGGTGAGGGGGACTTGATAACTTTTTACTCGGGGGTCTTGAATTTTGTTCGGCTTTTTTTATTTTCTTTTCGTTTTGACTTAATTGGTTCACTTGGCACATTTTGTTTCAAAACTATGATAATTCATTTCGATAGATCTAGTTTTTTCGATATTTTCAAATTTCCGATTTTTTTTCGACGTAGCCGTTTCCTTCTTTTGTATCGCAAGTGGTGCGATGCTCAGCTTCGCATCTGTGTGTAAATTTACAAACACAAATCTGAACCGTATTAGAGAAAGCAGTTGGGCCAGTACGATTCGTTTCCAACACGACCCGAATAGTACTTATGAATGATTTATGTTCAAACAAGGTAATCTGACATTGAAAATTGTCTAGTGCACTTCGCTCCTAAAGCTGATTGAATTTGAGTTTGGCCAAATAATAATTTCATTGAGTACAATAAACTGCTATGATTGCTATATTTATGAAGAAAACTGAAAGATTCAAAGTTTTGCGTGCTGTGCCGTTGAATGTGATGTTTTTACTAATAAACAAATTTATTTCAGATTCCAGAAGTTGTGCCTCCCAAAAAACGACAACCCATTGACTTCATGGCCATCGAGTATCCAGGGGTGTTTGATCCCCTTCCCAGCAAGGAAAACACTCTGGAAATGATTGAAACAAGGAGGAGGAATCTACACCAGCAGTTTATTCCAGAAGTCAACCATGAGGTGAGAGAACGAAGTTAAAGAGCTATAACAGATTGAACTTTTAACTTGACAGATTGAACTTCAGATTGACAGATTTAATTAGTTTTTTGTTCGGCTTTTTTTGCTCGCCTGGATGACGTTGAATTTGCGTTGTTTCTTTATATTTAGCTCTTGCTTGCATCTTTTCAAAAGGCAAACGTCCAATTACCCAAGCGATCGATAAGCAATGGTATTGCAATCGGTTACTAGACTTTTTCCGTAAAGAATTTTGTTCCCGTTCACGGGATGATCTCAAATTTAAAGATCTCCCTTTTCAGCACGTTTAACACCGCGAGTTAGTGTTTCAAGTTTATGGGTTACTGGATCTACTGGTAAAAGTTTTACAGATGTAAAGTTGGTTTTTCGTAGGCATAATTGATTTCGGCACAATTTTTGGAAGTGTTTTTTTTAAAGCCGTGTTTTTTTTTGGAAAATTCTATTCAATTAATTGTTTAATTCAAATCAAAGAACATAACACGCTCAAAGGTTTTACATACACGTTTTTATCAAGCTTTTTTATACACGCTAAAACTTTCAGGTTTGAAAAGAAAAACTATGGAAACAATTTTTTGTTTGATTTTATTTTCATTTTTTTTTGAATGCATGGTTTTTTGTTCTGATCGTATTCAGTTAGTTGAAAAATAAATTGCTTCCCAACGATATCTACTTACGGAGTTTTTTAATTATCCTTGCGATAAGCAAGGGTTTTGTAATCGGGTACTAGACTTTTTCCCGTAAATAACTTTAGTCACAGGACTCTTTTTTCATCTGGACTAGTTTCCTAGACGCCTCGGTTAGCAACAGATTTACCGCTACAAATTATTTTTTTCTGCATGTTACCATTTCAAACATCTATCAGATACGAATTTATCGCTTTATGTTGGTTTTAATTTAACCAACTCTTTTTGTTTAAATTTCATTTTTTTGTTTTCTTTTTTTTTTCGGCTTGTTAGCTTTCGGCGCTTTTTATATCGGCTTAGTGGCCTCATATCACATTGTATCGTTCGACGAGCGGATTTTGTGATTGTATGTGTTTTGAGGGTGAGGGGGACTTGATAACTTTTTACTCGGGGGTCCTGAATTTTGTTCGGCTTTTTTTATTTTCTTTTCGTTTTGACTTAATTGGTTCACTTGGCACATTTTGTTTCAAAACTATGATAATTCATTTCGATAGATCTAGTTTTTTCGATATTTTCAAATTTCCGATTTTTTTTCGACGTAGCCGTTTCCTTCTTTTGTATCGCAAGTGGTGCGATGCTCAGCTTCGCATCTGTGTGTAAATTTACAAACACAAATCTGAACCGTATTAGAGAAAGCAGTTGGGCCAGTACGATTCGTTTCCAACACGACCCGAATAGTACTTATGAATGATTTATGTTCAAACAAGGTAATCTGACATTGAAAATTGTCTAGTACACTTCGCTCCTAAAGCTGATTGAATTTGAGTTTGGCCAAATAATAATTTCATTGAGTACAATAAACTGCTATGATTGCTATGTTTATGAAGAACATTGTTTCAAGTTTATGGGTTATTGGATCTACTGGTAAAAGTTTTACAGATGTAAAGTTGGTTTTTCGTAGGCATAATTGATTTTGGCACAATTTTTGGAAGTGTTTTTTTAAAGCCGTTTTTTTTTGGAAAATTCTATTCAATTATTTCTTTAATTCAAATCAAAGAACATAACACGCTCAAAGGTTTTACATACACGTTTTTATCAAGCTTTTTTATACACGCTAAAACTTTCAGGTTTGAAAAGAAAAATTATGGAAACAATTTTTTGTTTGATTTTATTTTCATTTTTTTTTGAATGCATGGTTTTTTGTTCTGATCGTATTCAGTTAGTTGAAAAATAAATTGCTTCCCAACGATATCTACTTACGGAGTTTTTTAATTATCCTTGCGATAAGCAAGGGTTTTGTAATCGGGTACTAGACTTTTTCCCGTAAATAACTTTAGTCACAGGACTCTTTTTTCATCTGGACTAGTTTCCTAGACGCCTCGGTTAGCAACAGATTTACCGCTACAAATTATTTTTTTCTGCATGTTACCATTTCAAACATCTATCAGATACGAATTTATCGCTTTATGTTGGTTTTAATTTAACCAACTCTTTTTGTTTAAATTTCATTTTTTTGTTTTCTTTTTTTTTCGGCTTGTTAGCTTTCGGCGCTTTTTATATCGGCTTAGTGGCCTCATATCACATTGTATCGTTCGACGAGCGGATTTTGTGATTGTATGTGTTTTGAGGGTGAGGGGGACTTGATAACTTTTTACTCGGGGGTCCTGAATTTTGTTCGGCTTTTTTTATTTTCTTTTCGTTTTGACTTAATTGGTTCACTTGGCACATTTTGTTTCAAAACTATGATAATTCATTTCGATAGATCTAGTTTTTTCGATATTTTCAAATTTCCGATTTTTTTTTTGACGTAGCCGTTTCCTTCTTTTGTATCGCAAGTGGTGCGATGCTCAGCTTCGCATCTGTGTGTAAATTTACAAACACAAATCTGAACCGTATTAGAGAAAGCAGTTGGGCCAGTACGATTCGTTTCCAACACGACCCGAATAGTACGAATAGTACTTATGAATGATTTATGTTCAAACAAGGTAATCTGACATTGAAAATTGTCTAGTACACTTCGCTCCTACAGCTGATTGAATTTGAGTTTGGCCAAATAATAATTTCATTGAGTACAATAAACTGCTATGATTGCTATGTTTATGAAGAACATTGTTTCAAGTTTATGGGTTATTGGATCTACTGGTAAAAGTTTTACAGATGTAAAGTTGGTTTTTCGTAGGCATAATTGATTTCGGCACAATTTTTGGAAGTGTTTTTTTAAAGCCGTTTTTTCTTTGGAAAATTCTATTCAATTATTTCTTTAATTCAAATCAAAGAACATAACACGCTCAAAGGTTTTACATACACGTTTTTATCAAGCTTTTTTATACACGCTAAAACTTTCAGGTTTGAAAAGAAAAATTATGGAAACAATTTTTTGTTTGATTTTATTTTCATTTTTTTTGAATGCATGGTTTTTTGTTCTGATCGTTTTCAGTTACTAACTCAAGTTAATTTTAAACTATTATTTGAGCCCTTTCATTTTAAATCAATTCACAGTGATGGCACAGCGTATTGTTTAAGTGCTTAAATTTTTTCTAAATTAGTCCTTCTCAAATAAACTTCCGGAAAATTTTGTTTTTATATTTTGATTTGATTGTCTTCTCTACGAAAATTTTTGGAGCGTGTTGTACGATCTTTTAAAATCTAGTTGTTTCTGATAGAATTGTTTTGAAAGTTATGAAGTTGCGTGTTTTTTTCTCTAACTGGAGTCTTTTTTCGTCTTTTTCATTTGTGATCTTATTGTTTGCTGGGGTTCAGCTACCTTACCGACCATTTGAAAATTGGGGAGGGACTTTGTATTCAGGTATTTTAGTTTTTCTTTTTTTTTGTTTTCCACGCAAAATCAGCTGCCTTAAATAATCATCGGAGAAAGTTGAGTGATTTATAATTTTGAAGCGCTTACAGAAGTGATTCGAACGATTTTAAAAATTTAATTTTTTTTGTGTCGAGAAAATTGTAGATTTTTTGGCTAGTTTTTATTGAGGGAGCAGACTTACAATAGTGTGTTTTAATAACTTTAAAGCTTATAGTAGCTCAGTTTAAGCAGTAAAACCTAAAATTCAAAAAAAAATGAAAGATTTTTTTGATTCTTTTGTTTTTCTGGTCATTTCTCTACAAAAATTGATTTCCAATTTGCTTTTTTTGACTGTCGAATATGCTTGTTTCTCTCAGAGCCTTTTTTCTCACCACCGAGAACAAACTACTAAAATTGGAAAAACTTTTTATTGTTTTTTGTAAGACTATGATCGGAACATTCTATGCTACTCGCACCGTAACCGTCTGTCCTTGTTTTAATCTGAGAATGTTTCTTTGACTGGCCAAATAGATTATATTATTGCTGCAGTATTTCTGTGTAATTGTTTTTGGATGGAAAGAATTTTTTGACGCGTTGGCTCATCTGAAATAACTGCTCGAGTCCTGAGTTTTTATGAGTTTTTACGAGTCCCAATATCGTGGAAATAGCTATTAATCATTTTAAATAGTGGATAAGGTATTGTTTGACGAGTTCTAACTGTAATCGACTAAATCTCAAATTTACGGCAGAAAATTTTCAAATAGCTCTTAATAGCTGTACTTAGCATTCGATGGAGGTCGAATATAATAGTTAGCTTCTGATCAATTTTAATTGAAATTATCTCAAATTTGATGGTAGGACGGCCTTGAACATTCAATCAATTTGATGTTTTAGTTATGCAGTTTTTTTGATCGAAAATAGTTTTTTGGTTTGGAGCAAAATCGATAATTTTTCTAATACATGGTAATAAGTATATTACATCAATGAATTTGGTGGGGTTTCTCCCTCCCTACTATAAGTTAAGAGGGGTCAGTATTTGAGTATTTTAATGTGCTAGGGTTCTATTAAAAAGTGTATCTGTTTTGGTTGGATTAAGTTTTGCTGAGTAGTATTTTGGGAGTCAGGAAAATCAATTTGGTCGACATAAAAAATTTTCATAAAAATGTTGTAATTTTTTAAATACCCCTCCTCCTAGCAAAAAAGCCAGGTTAAGCCTGAACTTGGAATAGAAAATTACTACTGCTTGGTCGTTGTATTAAAGTTTATGGTAGTTTGTTAAGCTGAATTTTTTGATTTGATCTAATTATCATTTTAGGCAGTTCCTCCGTCATTGCGAGCCATGTCCGCCAATCAGAATGCGCCCTTGCCTCCGATTAGTTCGACCAATCAGAATGGAGAGGAGAGTTTGAGGCCCCAAAGTGGACCCGATAACATGCAACACATGAGATTGTGAGTAATTGGTTATGTATTTTGAATATTTAAGAGGTATTGATGAGTCATGGAATTAGAATTTGGGAAATTTCCTTTTTGCTTTATTGTATTTACGAAACTAGGAATGTCCATTCATTTTGGGTATATTAGTATTGGTTGAAAATAATCTATTTTAAAAATACTTTTATTGAGCTCATGTTATTGAATGAATTTGAATTATTTATCTCACTCAAGTGAGTTTTTTCTCGTTTTAATTATTTCTCTTTATTTGTATTTTTTGGTATTACTTTATCGTTAGTTTATGTTCCGAGGCTGTGATTATTCAGGAGGTATTATATATGCTTAGTTTTTATGCCCTCGAGTTGATAATATAATTCAAATTTTTAATGGTCGCATAAATAATTTTTGGATTGTGATCATTCTTTGGTTTTTCGTCCTATTTTATTATTTTAGAGATGAGCATATTAAGTTTATGTTTAACTTAGAAAACTGTTATGTATAATCAAAGAAGGGTGAGGATAATATTAATTTGATTCATATTTTTTCTTTCAGTGCTCCGAGTGAGATGGAGAGACTGGCCACTGAAGATGTCCTCATTCCCAAAGGGGGTTACCAGAGACCCAAAATGGCACCCATAGTAGACGAGGAGGGAGAGGGAGGGGAGGCTACCGAGGAAGACCAGGAGAATTTCTTCATGACTCAGGTTGGTCGATAAAATATTGTCACACAAAAAAGTTCACTCATGAGGTGGTTTCAGAAAATGCAGCTTTTACTTTTAGTCTTTCCGCTGAGTTTTAAGTCAATTTATTGCAGAGATTTAAGTAATTAGTTCTGAAATATGTTATGAATAAGTTTTTTTGGCCAAATAACAGTCTTTTTAGTGTTTCAAGGAGAGCGCGCAAATTAGTTTAGTCGTCTAAAATGTCAGAATTCTTCAAAATTTTTGAAATCCCTCACCCCGCCGTCACGAAAGTCATAGATCTCTCCGGTATATGATGGTTCAATCGCAAAAAAAAACAGGTAGTTTGCATATAATATAGTTTGCCTAACTTTTTCCATGATTTACAGACTTTGTTAAGTTCTGTCTGTGAATATCAATAGAAGATCGTGGTTTAGATAATTCATGAAACCCAAAAAGCAGTAAGTTATTTAGAGATGTCGGATATTCAAATACTAGTGTCTGTACTACTCCTTCTTAGTTGAAGAAATTGGAAAAACTCTGTTTGCATCTACAGGGATACCTTGAATTTTCTGCTATAGTTCTGTCAACTGATAGCGTAGCGATGAAGTCAGAATTGAAATGGTTCATAAGCGAAGTGAATTATCTTATGAATTTTTTTTTTGTGAGCTGCAGCAGTTTTGGACTCAAGAGTTTTTTAGGCATTACAAAGTCAGGGAGGTATGAAATGGATGTTTAGATTATTAGGTTGCTACAACAAGATTTCTAGCCTTTGAATATAATTTACAAAAAAAATCGATTTGTCATTTCGCCTAATTTAGTTTTTAAATGAAAATTTGAATGTGTTTCGGAGGGTGATTTTTTTTCCATAATAGAACTAAAATTTTACATTACCAGATTGACGATGAATATGCAGAAGGTGGATCGAATCGTTCTCAACAAGGACAGAATGGGGAAAGAGTCACAGGCTCTAAACAGACTGGAGGTTCGAAGAGCTCTAGCAAAAAAGGAGCTTACCGGTTATTGTATCAAACTAACGAGGATGAGGAGAAATTTTCACTCAATTTACCTAAAGGTTGGAATTGACTTATTGTTGTTTTAGGACATAACTTCTTTCTGCTTTTGAATATTTTTTCTAAATATTTACTTGCATTAACTTAAACAGAGCGAAAAATATTTCAAATCTAAAATCTAATTTTTAGGAATAATACTTTAGTAATTTTTGCTCTTTTCCAGTGAAACCTTCTTTGCTTTCGATGCTCAGTTATGTTTTAATTTTTGCTGGTATTTGAAAAAAGTTTCACTGGCATTGAAACAATTGTTAAAGAATTATTTGAATATGTTTGCTATGTTTAATCGTTTGTTTCAGACGTGCAGAGCAATGTGAAGGCGTTGAAGTATGCTCTGAAACACCCAGTGTCCTTCAGTGATGCGCCTGCTTCCCATGAGAGGATCATGCATCTATACCAGCCAGACAAATACAAGGTGGGTCGTATTGACGGATTTTTTTTCGGGCTTAGTATTAGTTTTCGACACTGGCGAAGTGGAGTTCCGCACCACTTGTGATACGGCCTTAACATATCCTGAAGTCGATCTGCCAGAAAATGAGACAAAATCCTCTAAATAGGAAACTTAGCTAGCAAAAACAATATGAAAACTTAAATCTGCCAAAATTTTCATGCGTCGAGCTCGATTTGTCTAGTACGAAAGTCAGTTTACAAAAAAAAGTATTTCGATTATTACAAATACACGCTAACAGAGAATACAAAGCTTATAGTGCCTGGGCAGCCAAAATATTACAATAAAAACTTGAGCGTTACCGTGGTGTAAAATTTTGAGTGACGTGGTGGAGGGGGAGGGTTCTCATGCTTGAAGGACCGAATGCTTGAAAAATTTCAGCCAATCAAAATCTCTAAGCGTTTCTATTGGCTAAATGCCTTTCTCACAAAATCGAAGTCAAAATTAACAGAAAACGTATTAAATCAGTGGAAAGTAATCAAAAACATTACAATTTGCGGATTACAACCGCAATACTTTTCAGATAATTATCAAGATTAATGAGGTCAAAATCATCAGAATTTTTTAGTCATGAAAACTCATCTGCTTATTATTTAATCGGTCAATATTAACACGAATGGCCTGGATTTATTTTCTTACTTTGAAATTTTTGCGATTTACTTTGGGATTTTGAATACTCAATTTTGATTGGCTGAAAGTAAGCTGAAATTAATTTCAAGCATTCGGTCCTTCAAGCATAAGGGACGCCACCGTGGTGGAGCATAAACACACACAGTCTAATTTGCTCTTCAGAGAACACAAATGAGGTATTTAAGCCGAGGTTTTATAAGCCGAAATCGTTTAAGTCGGTTGAACCTTTAAGCGAATATAAAAATGAAATTCAACAAAATTGGAGTTGTTATATTTATAACTATGACAAAAGAACAAATTCGAATAGATTGGGATTATTTAATTATTCTATTGCCCGCTGGTTGATCAAATAGCAGAATTGACAAAACAGCCGACAAAACGATTCAGTTAGTTTTCTTGAACAATCTAATTGCAAGAAAACAATATGCATTAATTTAATGATGCTTGCTAATCGCAAGCGTAATTCAACGTTTCAAATTGTTTGATATAGAATAATTTTATCTAGTATCTCAAAAGGAGCATAAAACCTCGAATGTCGAACAAAGACTAATATAGGCCATAATGTTTTGTTTTATTTTTCCGGGAAAAAGTCTTTAAATTATTCACGCTCAAATTAGATTATAGCGGTTTTACTTCTGATTAACAGTCGATGAACGTAGTTCAGACATTTATACAGTTGGCGTTGATTCTCTTCGGGAAAAGTCTTAACAATTTTTTCAGGCTTAAATTTAATTTTTCGCGGCTTGATTTAGTTTTTTTTTCAAGATCAGCTCATTTATTTTGCTACAAGAAAGGCAAATTCCACTATAGCAGCGAAAGTTTAAAAGATCACGAAAAACGTGATGCATATCTAATTTCGGAAACTGAATTTTTTATCCGATTTTCCAGCAAAATTAAAAATTTACCGTTTGGTTGTTTTCTCAATCTAGGACTATTTTTAGCTAAAAAGTGTCAATTATAATTATTTCTGGAAAATCAAAGAGCTTTAATGTCATCTTTTTTTGAAATATCGAGATTTTTTCATAAAAAAAGTCAGCTTTTTTTTTCTGTTTACTTGCGTTCATTGATTCTTTCTGTTGGCTGTATTCTTTTTAAATTCATATTTTTTTTTTTAAAAATGAAAGAAAAACAAAAGTGAAAACTTCTTGTTTCAAAAAGGGATTTCAACTTTCAGATTTTCCAACTTGAAAAGTGATTGATTTAAAGCAGCGGAATTTTTGTTTTTGATTTTTTAGTGGAATGAAATTTGAGTCAGTTTTATGATAAAAGATACTTGCAATTCAAAGAGCTTTGAGGTGCGAAAATTGTTGATTGGCATTTGGTTTTAGAATTGAGTTTACTATGTACTTCGCTGCGAAGTTTTTATTCGCAGCAAAATAAAAAACGAATTTTGTTCCAGTTTCATGAAATTGGAATAGTTTTTATCGAAAAGTGTCCGCCGTAATTTTTTCTCCATCTTTAAGGAACGGTCAAATTTGTGAAGCTCCAAAAAAATAGAAAATTGTTAATCAGTAGTTTGCTGGTTTGTTTGAGTTCATTAACCTTTCTCTTTCTCCCTGTTTACTGTTTTTTTCCCATTTACAGAGGCCCTCTAAGCCGAAGAAAGTGCAACAGTCGAAGGCTGATTTGTTTTACGACACTCTTTCTGACCTGAAACACAGAGTGGCATACGTGGAAACTAACTTGGAAAAGGCTTTAGTCGAGACAACCAACGACTCCAGGAGGGCGAAAGAAGTTAACACACTTGTGAAAGAGGTCAGTTTCGAAATTGGGTCCAAGTCTGATAATTGGGTCCCTGAAAAAAGCAGTTATTAAATATGGGTCAAGCGATTTTGGGAGAAACTTTAAAAACTACATGCACGCAAGTGCTCACCCTGTTTCTATAAATTTGAAGCACGAAAGTATTTCTTGGACCTATCTAAGGTTTAGCGACCCAACTATCATACTTCTACAAGTAATTGAATCGACTCTGTTGAAATGAGGTAAATTTATTGGATGACAGTGGTATCAAAGCTAGGAATATGATATACTGAGGCTAACAAAGAATTGAAATTGGACTGAGCTGGGGACATTTTATGAAATTTTAATGATATTGAATGTCTTGTTCATGCTGTTTGACTCTATATTTGCACTAATAAAATCTAGTTTTGCACTTAATAAGACGGACGGTTAGGGTCCGCACTAGTAATGATCTAGTTTGGTCTTGACAACTTTTTTGAATTTCGAAGTTTCATTTTAGATCCAACAAAACTACAAGAACTCGTCTGGCAGCAAAGCGGTGAAATTATAGATGTGATGGAGTAAAAGAGAGAAGCACTTCCGCATAGAGATCTATCTACTTACTTAGTTAAATTGTCAATTGTACATTTGTAAAAAGAATCCAGATTGTATATTACTTGAAATCAAATTCAAATTTATCAAGATCACTTTTTATTGTTGAATAAAATCTGTTCATTTTGTATTTCTCTCTACACTAAATGAATGACATGGTTTTTGTGCTCATAATCAGAGATCGGGAAGAAAATAATTTTTCGGTAGCTAAAAGTACTTACTTTTTGGTGGCCTAAAAAGTAAAAAGAACACCATTTAGTCTTATCATCGCATGAATCAACTTTTGCACGCTTGCCATCTGTATTTTCTGACAGTATTTTCTGAGTTTTTGCTTCAAAATACTGGACAGTCTGAAAGTTATCCGCGCATGATGGAATTCGGCAGGATTTTTATCACAATTAATTTATTGGTTTTTTTCTGTTTTTCTGCTTTTTTCAGGACAAGTTAAAGCAAAACTATGTATTTTTGCTTTTTTCAAGGAAGAGCGATTTTTTCATCGATTTTTTTTTCATAAGTATTTACTTTTTGTCCGCACTCTGCTGATAAGGCGCAATGGGTTAGGCTGCTGCTGTCGAGAGTAACTTTCGAAAAATTTCTGCCACCTAAGCTTGGTAAGAATGTTCTGGTAAGCTAAACATTCTGAATCAGAAATGTTGTAGAATTTTTAATGATAACGCTTCAGACAAGACCAACTCGATTTAAGTTTGATGCTAGACCTACACGTTTTTTTTCTAATGGCAAGTTGTCTTTTCTAAGACGAGTGCACTAAAATCAAGAAGCCTATCTATTATGAATAGTATTTTTCATTTATAAGACGAGCCTGCTAAAAACAACAACATTCCCTCTTTCGTTAAATCGCATTAATTGAGCTAAAGAGCTCCGTAATTTATTAAAACAAGCTTTCGAAAGACATGTGAACACTGAAATTGAATTTACGCGTTTTTGCTTGAAGGTTGATTTGAAGCTCTTAGGAACATACATAGGTACTTTATTCTTTCAAAGGTTTTGATTTTTTAAGGGAAGTTTGTTTACGATCAAATTTGATTATTCACGGTTCGACTTATGATTAAGTTCAATTTGTTTGTTATGTTAATTACAGGCAAACTGAAAAAATGCCTCAAAAATGCGAATGACTTCTAATTTCAAAAATGGACTTCATTTTTCTGAATTCGCAGCGAATTGAAAAATTTACTTTCAAAAATGGACTTCCTTTTTCTGAATTCGCAGCGAAATGAGAAATTTACTTGTTGATGCAATTTTCTCTAAATTAATGAAAGTTAACGAAACAATTGTCGCTAATTTAACAAAACAATTGTCAATCATTAACAGTATTCAAAATTCAAAGAGCTTTAACCTGACATTTTTTTCTTAGGAATTCGAAAGTTGAATAGCGTTCAAAAAATTTAAATCTACTTTTTTTTCGGTTTTCTTGTGCTTTTCCAACAGTCTATTGGCTATGTTTATTATTTCAAGGCAAAATTGTAGTTAATTTTAAAAAATTCGGTCCTTATGTTGTATGCTAGTTAAACGTCATATTTTGAGTACAAAAAAGTTGAATTTAAGGCAATATTTTCGTTAAGTTCAATTTTTTTGTGGTCCGAATGTTTTCTGCTACTTAAACGCCAGGTTTCGAGTATGAAAGTTGAAAACTGCAAGTATGCGACGAAGTTAAAAGTTAAACTTGCGGGTGAAACAGTATAACTAGAACTATTTCGCCAGGAACCATAGTCCAGGATATTTCGCAAATTGATTAGAAAAACTCTGGTAATACAATTTGTTGTGTTTTAAAATGCATGATACTGCAGTCCCATACCCATCAAAAGCTGACAATTTGAATAGAATTTTAAATAGATATTCCAACTTAATTTTTTTTTTGTACAGAAAATATTTTTTTCTTATGTAACATTAGAAATATACAGTTTTCTTTAAAGAATAATCAAAATCAGCTCACTGCTCAACTGCAACGAAATAATTTAAACTAATAAAAAAGAAAATCATGTACGGCAGAGTTTTTGTTGTGGCTGATCAAAATTTATGAATTTTGAATCTGAAAAAACTCATCAGATCGAACTATGTTAAATGTTTACCTGCTGACCAATGTTCTATCATTTAGACAAAGGGCAAGAGTCGTGAACTCGTTTGCAGCTAATCCTATCAAGCAAGCTGTACAGCATAACTATATTCTCTTTCCGACTTTCGAAGAAAGTGAGGAATATATATGCACGGGGTGGTTTTTTTTCAACTCAGACAGTTTTCAAAGGAACTTTTTTCTCGGAGGAATGATCCATGATTCTTCGTGGGCTATGCTGAGTTCGCAAATACCATATTAAGCTGATACGATTTCAGCTAAACTGCTCGTTTTATACTTTGATGCTGAAACTGTAACGCACATTGATTACGCAAGTCGAATTATCCCGTACTAAAAATCGCTCCAACATGAATGGAGGCAAGTTATTTGGTCTTATTAATTCCATACACGACTCAATTTTTAACTCAAATTTTGATATTATCAGGTAATAATTCACAGTTCATCATTTCTTTTTCAACCAAAACCTATTCAGGGCTAGATGAAAGGCAGTCGGATCAATCAAGGTTTTGCCCTGAAACGAGTAGTCCTGTTTGTTTTTAGAGGGAAATGCAAAAAATGTTCAGGTTTCATTCTAAAAAGGTTTTCCGAAATACTGTTTCTTTAAGGTCGTCTGAAACATCGAAAATATAATCATCCTTGATGACGCGTGTCGAATTATCCTGCACTACAAATTGCTTCAATATGAATTGAAACAAATTAATTGTTCTAATTATTTCCATACACGACTCGTTTTTTAACACTTGAAATTAGATATTATCAGCTTATAGTTCATAGTTTGTCAGTATTTCATTAACCAAAAAATATTCGGGACAAATTGAAGGACAGTCAAAAGGTTCAGGGCTTTGCCCTGAATCATGCAGTCTTGTTTATTTGCTTAGGACGATGCAAAAAAAATGTTGAGGTATATTCTAAAAAGTTTTTCAGAAGTACTATTATATGGTAGTCTGAAACATCTAAATTATAATTTTTCGAGGACCTACATTTTAACCACACCATAAATTTTAAGAGCTGGTGTGTGTATCAGAAATACACGTCGATCGAAGATGAATGAAATGTCAATTTAAGGCCCGTGCATCGTGAATCGGGTTCCAAAAATATTATTTTACAAAAGTTTGTAATTTGTTGCAGAATCGAGAAACGTTTTGTTATTTAGACCAATCTACTGCTAGATTGATCATTAGCGTTTTTAGAAGGGGATCGGTGGTGGCATGTGCTCGACACCATTACCACCCCTCGGCGTCTTTTTTTTTAGATTACAACTCTCTGATTTCAAATGCTCCTTTGTCGCCAATACGCACTAAATTTGAGAGGTGAACGCCCGCCAAAAAATGCGATTTTTGGTTGAAATATTCCAAAATGCCCAAAATATTGATTTTGTATGTTTTTACGCACAAACTCGCCTGCGGTGCAGAATTTTCTAGGTGAGCTCGAAATTTTTTGAAAATCCGAAATTGACGAAACAAACAATTTCTTTTAGTTTTTTTGCAGCTTTCCTGTGTGCGAAACATTCTGTGCTACTTGCACGGCTCCCGACTGTCGTTGTTGCTCTTATAAGGTAATTCTGATCCTCGTTCTAAAAACTCAGTACAAATCTTTTACCTCTTAAATCACCCGTTTTCAGATTGATTGACTAAAATGACGAGTCTGCATCTCTTTGGTGGGTCCAAACTGCGTTTTCTGATCTACACTTCATTTTTCTCGGGCACTGTAGTGTATTACGGGGCCTTGAACAAACAGCAGAAAAGAAAATTCCATACCAACAAAGCTGGTATTGGACGATTTTTGCTGCTGTCTTTTGGTGGGATGACAATTAAGAGGGATTATAGAAAGAAGTAAGGTCACACAAGAAATGTTCTTTTGAATGAAGTTTCATAATAATTTTTCAATCATTCATTGAAACCTAGGCCATAAAATGTATTTTTAAAAGTATGACAATTAAATTTGAAAACGCAAAGGGCGATCAAAAATTGAATTTTTCTTTGAATCAAAAATAATTTTTGTGCGATCAAAAACTTAATTTTTGATTAATTTAAGTTGGAATGAAGAAACTGGCCCAAAAATTGGAAATATTGAAGTTGAAACGCTGAGTGGTGAATTGACGTTAGGTGTAAAGTCATGATATCAAATTTTAGGACGATCTGGGTTAGGAACCTCGAATTTCACTTAGATCGAAAGGACTTCCATGAAAGAAAAAAGAAACATTTTATATCGTTCAAAATAGTTACCCAAATTAAAACAGGTAGTTTTTTTTTCAAAAATGAATTTTCAATGACGTTAATAGTATTTGTTTTCTAACGAAATTGCAATCGTTCTAGCCACAATCTATTGCATTTTCATAAGGTGAGGTTGACCGTTTTTTTCAGTGTGATTAAACTGTCAGAAGGAACAGAAGCCTACAACTTAGAACTGGAAAAATTCCACGAGCGCACAGCAGATTTGATTTACAAAGCAGGTATGTTATGAATGGCAATATAAAGATACAATTAGAGTTAATTTTCCCGTTAAATATCCCACTTGTGAAATTTTAAATGATGATGTCTAAAAATCGTTAATACGGCAATTTGCATAGAGACCATCAGAATTGGTATTTCAGTGAATAAATCAATTTTGTCGACCTTTGAATGGGTTCAATTTTCAATTTTTATTGGGTTCCTTGGGAAGCTGGTGAGCGGAAATTACTCTTTATTCCCCGGAAAAAAGACAGAAAACTAACTGAAAGAGTCATGTGGTCCGTTGTCAAAAAAACGGCTTAATGTTCATAAGTAGTTTCGAGCTAATGGTCGAAATACGCCAACAAAAGAACTGGTTGATCCGATGAAGTGGTTGATCCGATCTAAGAACAGGTTCTTCAAAATGTTTGGTACCTTTCGCTAATTTAGTTTCCGGAAAGACGTTGAAAAGTTGTTTGGTGAAAATTGACCTTCTTTCGGTTAGAAAAACGAGAAAGAAGTGCCTAATAGGCTGTTTTTTTTTCATCTTCTTTTTTCCATTGATGTATTTAATGAAATTGCGTTAATCGGGGAAAAAACGCAAAGAGATGAAAGATAGTGGTATGCTCTTCAGGGTCTTTTCAAAAGACATTTTCATATGTTAATTTATATGTTTTTCGATATTATATAAAGGTTTTTGGAATGATTTTTTTGCAGCTCTTCAAAATAAAGGTCTATACATCAAATTGGGCCAAGCAGTGGCTTCTATGAATCATGTCTTCCCACCAGTTTACGTAGAAAAACTATCTCAGCTGAATGATATGGCTTTGGTATCAAAAGAAGACGACCTAGATCAGGTATCTTTTGAAATCCTTTATTCGATAAATGCGACACTTCCATAATAGTATTTCAAATCTAGAAGAGAGTTTGCTTGTTCTACTTTCATTTTGGCGCAAATGTATTTCTATTAACAGACATATATATTTGAGCTCAAAATAATCAAAAGACAACTGATTGTTAATTGAATTGAGCATCCTAAACCGGTTTCAAATTTGTCATGGGTTATGTTTTAGAATTAATTTTGTAACAAGGGAGTCGAATCATTTAGGATTTGAATGAAATCTGGCCTCTTGCAAGAATTTAAAGTCCACCTCTTTTTAAATAATTGATGCCTTAAACATGTCCTAATTTGTTTATTCTGTCGAAAATTATATTATCGAGAACTTGTTGGAATAGTTCCTTGTTTAAAAAGCTGAAACATCTAATTGGCTGATGCTAATACGAATTATAAACCAGATAATATCTTTTGACTGTGTTTTTTTTTTCGGATTTAAAACTTGCAGAAAACGAAGGCGGTTTTAAACAATCGAAAATGCAACGGAAAAATTTAATAACACCAGGATTAACATAGCTTAATCGTATACGTTTTAAAACATGGGTAACTATATCTGGAAGCAGTTTGCTGATTAGATGTTCATGGAAGACTTCAACCAAAGTCTGAACCAGATGTTCATCGAGTTCAAACGGGAGCCAATAGCATCTGCCAGCATAGCTGAAGTATTCGAGGGTAGATTGAGAGACAGTGGGGAGAAAGTAGCTGTGAAGATGCAGTTCATTGATTTACAAGACAGATTTGCGGGTAAATATACGTAGAGGTCAACAGATTTCGTGCTAAAAAATTTATAGGTAACAGATCTACTGGTAAAAACGATAAAGTTTAATATATTCGAAAAACAGAACAGCTAATCATCATAATTGGGAGACTTATTGATTTTTAGGGTCTCACACACTAGTGAATATGAGTCCATATAACGCCACCGCTTTCCGTAATGTTTGATACTACAATTTTATTCAAGTGTTCCGACCACTCGGAAATAGACCGCAGTCTTTTTTCCACTTGCAAAAGTAAGTGTCTGGTAATCGGGAACTAAACTTTTTTTCCCGTAAACACCTTTTCTTACAAATTTTCAACTTGCTTTTCTGTTGAATCTTAACAACTTCCAGTTTCGTTTGCACTTGGCGTAGAGGTAACGCCGCAGCCTTTGCGCCATAAGGCCGTAGTTGGAATTCCGGTCGGCCTTGATTTTTTTTAGTATGAATGGAACAAATTTACTGGTTGCTTGAACATCTTCTGCATAAGTGGCTACGTCCTTTTTTTTTACAGTAAAAGGTATGATTCTTACAAAAGTCAATTTTTTAAACCGTTTTTTGAAAATATTTGAGTTTCTGGGTTCAATCGAAATTACAGGCTGCGTGAGTTTCTTCTGCATGAGCAGCTATGCCCAATTTTTGGATACTGAAACATGTGATTCTCGGAAAAATGAGTTTTTTTTTTGATTTTTTGACCATGTTTTGGAAGTATTTTGTGTTTTCTCGATAACTATCCTGCCAAATTTGGAATCAAGGGTTAAATTGAAACAACATGTTGTTGAAAGCCTATCTTAATAAATGGCTGCAACCATTTTTTTTTTAGAAATTTTTTGAAATTTTAACTGTTTTTTTACTTTTCTCCAAAACTAACCTGTCAATTCTCAGGTAAGTGTAACAATGTCTTCTAGTATGTGAACGTAACGTTCCTGTGAAACTTGAACAGCACCTGAATGTATTGTTAGTTTTTTATTTCGAGTTTCGAAGAAAGTAACAAAATAATCATGTTAGAGCATTTTTACAGAAGTTTTCGCACCATCTGAAAGATATCGCTGTACGGTGCTCAGTTTAAAAAAATTATTTCCTCTGTTAACACTTTTTATAAAGTTTCGGGTGTTCGATTTTGGAATTACTCCCGCGAATGTGTGGTCAATTAGAGGCACTTGTGTGGTAAATGCGAGAATGAATCCAGCTCATAAATTATACCAAAATTAGTTGAGGAACGCTAATTAATCCAGGTATCGTGTTTATAGATGCGAAATATATCACTTTGCTTCTCGTGTGAGGGGTGCGGAGGTGAGACTTTTAACATTTTTTGAAATAATTTTCGAAATGTTGAATTTAAATCTTTTTCAAACATCCGAAGGACAATCGGAACATTCAGGACTTCGCCCTTTAGTTTTGATGAAGTTTGCTTTTTCCTGTTTTATGAAGGTAATCTAACCACTGCTTGAATGGCAGCTGCTATAGTTGCTATAACCGGTGAACGTTGACAGTTCATCATTTCTTTTTTAACCAAAACCTATTCAGGGCTAGATGAAAGGCAGTCGGATCAATCAAGGTTTTGCCCTGAAAAGAGTAGTCCTGTTTGTTTTTAGAGGGAAATGCAAAAAATGTTCAGGTTTCATTCTAAAAAGGTTTTCCGAAATACTGTTTCTTTAAGGTCGTCTGAAACATCGAAAATATAATCATCCTTGATGACGCGTGTCGAATTACCCTGCACTACAAATTGCTTCAATATGAATTGAAACAAATTAATTGTTCTAATTATTTCCATACACGACTCGTTTTTTAACACTTGAAATTAGATATTATCAGCTTATAGTTCATAGTTTGTCAATATTTCATTAACCAAAAAATATTCGGGACAAATTGAAGGACAGTCAAAAGGTTCAGGGCTTTGCCCTGAATCATGCAGTCTTGTTTATTTGCTTAGGACGATGCAAAAAAAATGTTTAGGTATATTCCAAAAAGTTTTTCAGAAGTACTATTATATGGTAGTCTGAAACATCTAAATTATAATTTTTCGAGGACCTACATTTTAACCACACCATAAATTTTAAGAGCTGGTGTGTGTATCAGAAATACACATCGATCGAAGATGAATGAAATAACAATTTAAGGCCCGTGCATCGTGAATCGGGTTCCAAAAATATTATTTTACAAAAGTTTGTAATTTGTTGCAGAATCGAGAAACGTTTTGTTATTTAGACCAATCTACTGCTAGATTGATCATTAACGTTTTTAGAAGGGGATCGGTGGTGGCTTGTGCTCGACACCATTACCACCCCTCGGCGTCTTTTTTTTAGATTACAACTCTCTGATTTCAAATGCTCCTTTGTCGCCAATACGCACTAAATTTGAGAGGTGAACGCCCGCCAAAAAATGCGATTTTTGGTTGAAATATTCCAAAATGCCCAAGATATTGATTTTGTATGTTTTTACGCACAAACTCGCCTGCGGTGCAGAATTTTCTAGGTGAGCTCGAAATTTTTTGAAAATCCGAAATTGACGAAACAAACAATTTCTTTTAGTTTTTTTGCAGCTTTCCTGTGTGCGAAACATTCTGTGCTACTTGCACGGCTCCCGACTGTCGTTGTTGCTCTTATAAGGTAATTCTGATCCTCGTTCTAAAAACTCAGTACAAATCTTTTACCTCTTAAATCACCCGTTTTCAGATTGATTGACTAAAATGACGAGTCTGCATCTCTTTGGTGGGTCCAAACTGCGTTTTCTGATCTACACTTCATTTTTCTCGGGCACTGTAGTGTATTACGGGGCCTTGAACAAACAGCAGAAAAGAAAATTCCATACCAACAAAGCTGGTATTGGACGATTTTTGCTGCTGTCTTTTGGTGGGATGACAATTAAGAGGGATTATAGAAAGAAGTAAGGTCACACAAGAAATGTTCTTTTGAATGAAGTTTCATAATAATTTTTCAATCATTCATTGAAACCTAGGCCATAAAATGTATTTTTAAAAGTATGACAATTAAATTTGAAAACGCAAAGGGCGATCAAAAATTGAATTTTTCTTTGAATCAAAAATAATTTTTGTGCGATCAAAAACTTAATTTTTGATTAATTTAAGTTGGAATGAAGAAACTGGCCCAAAAATTGGAAATATTGAAGTTGAAACGCTGAGTGGTGAATTGACGTTAGGTGTAAAGTCATGATATCAAATTTTAGGACGATCTGGGTTAGGAACCTCGAATTTCACTTAGATCGAAAGGACTTCCATGAAAGAAAAAAGAAACATTTTATATCGTTCAAAATAGTTACCCAAATTAAAACAGGTAGTTTTTTTTTTCAAAAATGAATTTTCAATGACGTTAATAGTATTTGTTTTCTAACGAAATTGCAATCGTTCTAGCCACAATCTATTGCATTTTCATAAGGTGAGATTGACCGTTTTTTTCAGTGTGATTAAACTGTCAGAAGGAACAGAAGCCTACAACTTAGAACTGGAAAAATTCCACGAGCGCACAGCAGATTTGATTTACAAAGCAGGTATGTTATGAATGGCAATATAAAGATACAATTAGAGTTAATTTTCCCGTTAAATATCCCACTTGTGAAATTTTAAATGATGATGTCTAAAAATCGTTAATACGGCAATTTGCATAGAGACCATCAGAATTGGTATTTCAGTGAATAAATCAATTTTGTCGACCTTTGAATGGGTTCAATTTTCAATTTTTATTGGGTTCCTTGGGAAGCTGGTGAGCGGAAATTACTCTTTATTCCCCGGAAAAAAGACAGAAAACTAACTGAAAGAGTCATGTGGTCCGTTGTCAAAAAAACGGCTTAATGTTCATAAGTAGTTTCGAGCTAATGGTCGAAATACGCCAACAAAAGAACTGGTTGATCCGATGAAGTGGTTGATCCGATCTAAGAACAGGTTCTTCAAAATGTTTGGTACCTTTCGCTAATTTAGTTTCCGGAAATACGTTGAAAAGTTGTTTGGTGAAAATTGACCTTCTTTCGGTTAGAAAAACGAGAAAGAAGTGCCTAATAGGCTGTTTTTTTCATCTTCTTTTCTCCATTGATGTATTTAATGAAATTGCGTTAATCGGGGAAAAAACGCAAAGAGATGACAGATAGTGGTATGCTCTTCAGGGTCTTTTCAAAAGACATTTTCATATGTTAATTTATATGTTTTTCGATATTATATAAAGGTTTTTGGAATGATTTTTTTGCAGCTCTTCAAAATAAAGGTCTATACATCAAATTGGGCCAAGCAGTGGCTTCTATGAATCATGTCTTCCCACCAGTTTACGTAGAAAAACTATCTCAGCTGAATGATATGGCTTTGGTATCAAAAGAAGACGACCTAGATCAGGTATCTTTTGAAATCCTTTATTCGATAAATGCGACACTTCCATAATAGTATTTCAAATCTAGAAGAGAGTTTGCTTGTTCTACTTTCATTTTGGCGCAAATGTATTTCTATTAACAGACATAAATATTTGAGCTCAAAATAATCAAAAGACAACTGATTGTTAATTGAATTGAGCATCCTAAACCGGTTTCAAATTTGTCATGGGTTATGTTTTAGAATTAATTTTGTAACAAGGGAGTCGAATCATTTAGGATTTGAATGAAATCTGGCCTCTTGCAAGAATTTAAAGTCCACCTCTTTTTAAATAATTGATGCCTTAAACATGTCCTAATTTGTTTATTCTGTCGAAAATTATATTATCGAGAACTTGTTGGAATAGTTCCTTGTTTAAAAAGCTGAAACATCTAATTGGCTCATGCTAATACGAATTATAAACCAGATAATATCTTTTGACTGTGTTTTTTTTTTCGGATTTAAAACTTGCAGAAAACGAAGGCGGTTTTAAACAATCGAAAATGCAACGGAAAAATTTAATAACACCAGGATTAACATAGCTTAATCGTATACGTTTTAAAACATGGGTAACTATATCTGGAAGCAGTTTGCTGATTAGATGTTCATGGAAGACTTCAACCAAAGTCTGAACCAGATGTTCATCGAGTTCAAACGGGAGCCAATAGCATCTGCCAGCATAGCTGAAGTATTCGAGGGTAGATTGAGAGACAGTGGGGAGAAAGTAGCTGTGAAGATGCAGTTCATTGATTTACAAGACAGATTTGCGGGTAAATATACGTAGAGGTCAACAGATTTCGTGCTAAAAATTTTATAGGTAACAGATCTACTGGTAAAAACGATAAAGTTTAATATATTCGAAAAACAGAACAGCTAATCATCATAATTGGGAGACTTATTGATTTTTAGGGTCTCACACACTAGTGAATATGAGTCCATAAAACGCCACCGCTTTCCGTAATGTTTGATACTACAATTTTATTCAAGTGTTCCGACCACTCGGAAATAGACCGCAGTCTTTTTTTCCACTTGCAAAAGTAAGTGTCTGGTAATTGGGAACTAAACTTTTTTTTCCCGTAAACACCTTTTCTTACAAATTTTCAACTTGCTTTTCTGTTGAATCTTAACAACTTCCAGTTTCGTTTGCACTTGGCGTAGAGGTAACGCCGCAGCCTTTGCGCCATAAGGCCGTAGTTGGAATTCCGGTCGGCCTTGATTTTTTTTGTATGAATGGAACAAATTTACTGGTTGCTTGAACATCTTCTGCATAAGTGGCTACGTCCTTTTTTTTTACAGTAAAAGGTATGATTCTTACAAAAGTCAATTTTTTAAACCGTTTTTTGAAACTATTTGAGTTTCTGGGTTCAATCGAAATTACAGGCTGCGTGAGTTTCTTCTGCATGAGCAGCTATGCCCAATTTTTGGATACTGAAACATGTGATTCTCGGAAAAATGAGTTTTTTTTTTGATTTTTTGACCATGTTTTGGAAGTATTTTGTGTTTTCTCGATAACTATCCTGCCAAATTTGGAATCAAGGGTTAAATTGAAACAACATGTTGTTGAAAGCCTATCTTAATAAATGGCTGCAACCATTTTTTTTTAGAAAATTTTTGAAATTTTAACTGTTTTTTTACTTTTCTCCAAAACTAACCTGTCAATTCTCAGGTAAGTGTAACAATGTCTTCTAGTATGTGAACGTAACGTTCCTGTGAAACTTGAACAGCACCTGAATGTATTGTTAGTTTTTTATTTCGAGTTTAGAAGAAAGTAACAAAATAATCATGTTAGAGCATTTTTACAGAAGTTTTCGCACCATCTGAAAGATATCGCTGTACGGTGCTCAGTTTAAAAAAATTATTTCCTCTGTTAACACTTTTTATAAAGTTTCGGGTGTTCGATTTTGGAATTACTCCCGCGAATGTGTGGTCAATTAGAGGCACTTGTGTGGTAAATGCGAGAATGAATCCAGCTCATAAATTATACCAAAATTAGTTGAGGAACGCTAATTAATCCAAGTATCGTGTTTATAGATGCGAAATATATCACTTTGCTTCTCGTGTGAGGGGTGCGGAGGTGAGACTTTTAACATTTTTTGAAATAATTTTCGAAATGTTGAATTTAAATCTTTTTCAAACATCCGAAGGACAATCGGAACATTCAGGACTTCGCCCTTTAGTTTTGATGAAGTTTGCTTTTTCCTGTTTTATGAAGGTAATCTAACCACTGCTTGAATGGCAGCTGCTATAGTTGCTATAACCGGTGAACGTTGACAGTTCATCATTTCTTTTTTAACCAAAACCTATTCAGGGCTAGATGAAAGGCAGTCGGATCAATCAAGGTTTTGCCCTGAAAAGAGTAGTCCTGTTTGTTTTTAGAGGGAAATGCAAAAAATGTTCAGGTTTCATTCTAAAAAGGTTTTCCGAAATACTGTTTCTTTAAGGTCGTCTGAAACATCGAAAATATAATCATCCTTGATGACGCGTGTCGAATTATCCTGCACTACAAATTGCTTCAATATGAATTGAAACAAATTAAATGTTCTAATTATTTCCATACACGACTCGTTTTTTAACACTTGAAATTAGATATTATCAGCTTATAGTTCATAGTTTGTCAATATTTCATTAACCAAAAAATATTGGGGACAAATTGAAGGACAGTCAAAAGGTTCAGGGCTTTGCCCTGAATCATGCAGTCTTGTTTATTTGCTTAGGACGATGCAAAAAAAATGTTGAGGTATATTCTAAAAAGTTTTTCAGAAGTACTATTATATGGTAGTCTGAAACATCTAAATTATAATTTTTCGAGGACCTACATTTTAACCACACCATAACTTTTAAGAGCTGGTGTGAGTATCAGAAATACACGTCGATCGGAGATGAATGAAATGTCAATTTAAGGCCCGTGCATCGTGAATCGGGTTCCAAAAATATTATTTTACAAAAGTTTGTAATTTGTTGCAGAATCGAGAAACGTTTTGTTATTTAGACCAATCTACTGCTAGATTGATCATTAGCGTTTTTAGAAGGGGATCGGTGGTGGCTTGTGCTCGACACCATTACCACCCCTCGGCGTCTTTTTTTTAGATTACAACTCTCTGATTTCAAATGCTCCTTTGTCGCCAATACGCACTAAATTTGAGAGGTGAACGCCCGCCAAAAAATGCGATTTTTGGTTGAAATATTCCAAAATGCCCAAAATATTGATTTTGTATGTTTTTACGCACAAACTCGCCTGCGGTGCAGAATTTTCTAGGTGAGCTCGAAATTTTTTGAAAATCCGAAATTGACGAAACAAACAATTTCTTTTAGTTTTTTTGCAGCTTTCCTGTGTGCGAAACATTCTGTGCTACTTACACGGCTCCCGACTGTCGTTGTTGCTCTTATAAGGTAATTCTGATCCTCGTTCTAAAAACTCAGTACAAATCTTTTACCTCTTAAATCACCCGTTTTCAGATTGATTGACTAAAATGACGAGTCTGCATCTCTTTGGTGGGTCCAAACTGCGTTTTCTGATCTACACTTCATTTTTCTCGGGCACTGTAGTGTATTACGGGGCCTTGAACAAACAGCAGAAAAGAAAATTCCATACCAACAAAGCTGGTATTGGACGATTTTTGCTGCTGTCTTTTGGTGGGATGACAATTAAGAGGGATTATAGAAAGAAGTAAGGTCACACAAGAAATGTTCTTTTGAATGAAGTTTCATAATAATTTTTCAATCATTCATTGAAACCTAGGCCATAAAATGTATTTTTAAAAGTATGACAATTAAATTTGAAAACGCAAAGGGCGATCAAAAATTGAATTTTTCTTTGAAACAAAAATAATTTTTGTGCGATCAAAAACTTAATTTTTGATTAATTTAAGTTGGAATGAAGAAACTGGCCCAAAAATTGGAAATATTGAAGTTGAAACGCTGAGTGGTGAATTGACGTTAGGTGTAAAGTCATGATATCAAATTTTAGGACGATCTGGGTTAGGAACCTCGAATTTCACTTAGATCGAAAGGACTTCCATGAAAGAAAAAAGAAACATTTTATATCGTTCAAAATAGTTACCCAAATTAAAACAGGTAGTTTTTTTTTCAAAAATGAATTTTCAATGACGTTAATAGTATTTTTTTCTAACAAAATTGCAATCGTTCTAGCTACAATCTATTCCATTTTCATAAGGTGAGATTGACCGTTTTTTTCAGTGTGATTAAACTGTCAGAAGGAACAGAAGCCTACAACTTAGAACTGGAAAAATTCCACGAGCGCACAGCAGATTTGATTTACAAAGCAGGTATGTTATGAATGGCAATATAAAGATACAATTTGAGTTAATTTTCCCGTTAAATATCCCATTTGTGAAATTTTAAATGATGATGCCTAAAAATCGTTAATACGGCAATTTGCATAGAGACCATCAGAATTGGTATTTCAATGAATAAATCAATTTTGTCGACCTGTGAATGGGTTCAATTTTCAATTTTTTATTGGGTTCCTTGGGAAGCTGATGAGCGGAAATTACTCTTTATCCCCCGGAAAAAAGACAGAAAACTAACTGAAAGAGTCATGTGGTCCATTGTCAAAAAAACGGCTTAATGTTCATAAGTAGTTTTGAGCTAATGGTCGAAATACGCCAACAAAAGAACTGGTTGATCCGATGAAGTGGTTGATCCGATCTAAGGACAGGTTCTTCAAAATGTTTGGTACCTTTCCTTAATTTAGTTTCAGGAAATACGTTAAAAAGTTGTTTGGTGAAAATTGACCTTCTTTCGGTTAGAAAAACGAGAAAGAAGTGCCTAATAGGCTGTTTTTTATCTTCTTTTCTCCATTGATGTATCTTCCTCGGATGTGAGAAAACTATCTTCATCAAGTTTTTGTTTATGAATATCTTCATACTGTTCAAAAGAATCAGCAAAATTGATGGCTTGGTCAAAATTCCTAGTAAAATAGAATCTTAGTAAAATTGTTTAACTGAGGGTTGAAGCACTTTCTACTTAAAGTTCACGTTCTCTTATAAAGTTCATTGACGATGGCGCGATCTTATGAAAACTTCATTAATCGAGGAAACAAAACGCAAAGAGATGACAAGTAGTGGTATGCTCTTTAAGGTATTAACAAAAGACATTTTTTTGTTAAATTAGTTTTTTGATGTTTTATAAAGGTTTTTGTAATTATTTTGTCTTGCAGCTCTTCAAAATAAAGGTCTATACATCAAACTTGGCCAAGCAGTGGCTTCTATGAATCATGTCTTCCCGCCAGTATATGTTGAAAAACTATCTCAGCTGAATGATATGGCTTTGGTATCAAAAGAAGACGACCTAGATCAGGTATGTTTCAAAATCCTTCATTCTATAAATCCAACTCTTCCATTATAGTTTTTTAAATCTAGAAGAGCGTTTGATTTTTCTACATAAATTTTGTCGCAAATATATTGCTTTTAACAAACATAATATATTCGAGCACAAAATAATCAAAAGAAGACTGATTGTTAATTGAATTGAGCATCTTTAAGCGGTTTCAAAATTGTCAAATGGGTTCATTTTCAGAATTAATTTTGTAACAAGGGAGTCGAATAACTTATGATTTGAGTGAAATCTGGCCACTCGCGAGAATTCAAGGTCCACCTACTATTTTTAAGTTATTAATGTCCGAATAATAATTTCTTTAGCCTCTCAAAAATACATCATCGGGAATTGTTCCTTGTTTTAAAAGCGGAAATATCTTATTGGCTCATGCAAATACGAATTATACACCGCCTAATTTTATTTGTGTTTTTTTTGGATTTAAAATCTGGAGAAAACGAAGGTGGTTTGAAACAGCCAAAAATGCACCGGAAAAATTTAATAACACCAGGATTAACATAGCTTAATCGTATACGTTTTAAAACATGGGTAACTATATCTGGAAGCAGTTTGCTGATTAGATGTTCATGGAAGACTTCAACCAAAGTCTGAACCAGATGTTCATCGAGTTCAAACGGGAGCCAATAGCGTCTGCCAGCATAGCTGAAGTATTCGAGGGTAGATTGAGAGACAGTGGGGAGAAAGTAGCTGTGAAGATGCAGTTCATTGATTTACAAGACAGATTTGCGGGTAAATATACGTAGAGGTGAACAGATTTCGTGCTAAAAAACTTATAGGTAACAGATCTACTGGTGAAAACGATAAAGTTCAATATATTCGAAAAACAGAACAGCTGATCATTGTGAATTAGCTACTCTAATTGAGGGACATTTTTTTGTTTTTTAGGGTCCCACACTAGCGAATATGAGTCCATATAACGCCACCGCTTTCCGTAATGTTTGATACTACAATTTTATTCAAGTGTTCCGACCACTCGGAAATATACCGCAGTCTTTTATTTAAATTTTTTTTACACTTGCAAAAGCAAAAGTCAGGTAATCGGGAACTAATTTTTTCCCCGTAAACACCTTTTCTTACAAATTTTCAACTTGCGTTATTGTTGAATCTTAACAACTTCCAGTTTCGTTTGCACTAGGCATAGAAGTAACGCCGCCGCCTTTGCGCCCAAGGCCGGAGTTGGAATTCCGGCCGGCCTTGTTTTTTTGTAGTATGAATGCAATAGAAAAATTTTTCTGGTAAAAATTGATTTTTCGGTCTTGTTTCATGGTAGTTGAAGGGGTTATTTATTATAGTTTTTCGGGGGACTTGAAATTTTTTATAAAGGGTTTATAATTTTTTTTCGTCTTAATAAGTGTCTGCTCAAAGATTGTCGTCTTTGTTTTCGCTGCGTAAGTTTTGTTCCGTTGCTAATTTAAAATTCGATTGTTCTGTTTGGCATGGTCGCTCAGAAGGCTTGTTTGACAAAAACAGTCACTATGAAAGTTTATGGGATTGGGTTTTTAATGTTTTTTTGAGTCGCTATAGAAAAAAAATTTTTGCAAAAGTTATAGTTTTCCAACCGATTTTTAACAAAGTGGTTTTAACGGAAAGATCGCGTATTCTCCTGTGTGCATGCATACTCCCCTAGTCTGTTTTTGCTTTGTCGGTGAATATTTGACCTATATTTTTGATTTTCTTTTGTTTTTTTCTCAAAAATTACTTTCCCAAATCTGAGATGTGAATTCAATAGAGATAACGGCTAATTGGAAGCTTCCCTGCATTAGCGGGCACTCGAGAAACTTGTTTTTAAATTTTTTGATTTTTCTCGACAACTACCCTCCCATATCGTAGACTTTGAGTACAATCCAAAGAACGCGTAGTGGGAAACTCCTTTGCAAAGCGAATATGCCAAAACAATTTTGACACGAAAAGTTACAGCCTTCGGAAAAGTCAAAATTTTGATTTTTTTTGACAGTTTTAAAAACTTTTCTCGATAACTATCCTAAATTTGAGTTTATGGGCTCAAGAGAAATTTACTGGTTGCTTGAACCTCTTCTGTATAAGCGGCTACGTCCAATTTTTTAACAGTAAAAGATATGATTCTTGGAAAAGTCAATTTTTTAAACCGTTTTTTTGAAATTATTTGAGTTTCTGGGTTCAATCGAATTTAGGGTTCAATTTTTGGACACTGAGGGATGTGATTCTCGGAAAAGTCAGTTTTTTTTGAATTTTTGGCCATGTTTTGGAAGTATTTTAAAATTTGTTGATAACTATCCTGCCAAATTTGGCATTAAGGGTTAAATTGAAACAGCATGTTGTTGAAAGCCTACCGTATAAATGGCTGCAACCATTTTCTTGCAGAAAATTTTTGAAGCTTTGACTATTTTTTGGAAACTTTTTGACTTTTCTCCAAAACTATCCTGTCAGGTTAAGTGGTCATTCGGGAAACCCGGTTAAATGCCTAATAATTGAAAACAATGTCTTCCAGTATGTGAATATAACAAACCTGTGATACTTGAACAGCACCTGAATGCTGTTGTTAGTTTATTCTTTCGATTTTCGAATAAAGTAAGGAAATAATCAAATTAGAGCGCGGAAGTTTTCGCACCATCTGAAAGATATCGCTGTCCTGTGCTCAGTTAAAAACATTTATTTTATAAAGTTTCGGGTGTTCGATTTTGGAATTACTCACGAAAATGTGGGGTCAATTAGAGGCACTTGGTGCTTCCAATTGTTCAGCAGCGAGTAGTGAGTGCGAGAATGAATCCAGCTTATAATTTATACCAAAAGTATTTGAGGAACGCTAATTAATCTAAATATCGTGTTTATAGATGCGAAATATATCACTTTGCTTCTCGTGTGGGGGTGGGGAGGTAAGACTTCAAACTTTTTTTGATATAATTTTCGAAATGTTGAATCTAAGTCTTTTTCAAACATCCGAAGGACAATCGGAACATTCAGGACTTCGCCCTTTAGTTTTGATGAAGTTTGCTTCTTCCTGTTTTATGAATGTAATCTAACCACTGCTTGAATGGCAGCTGCTATAGTTGCTATAACCGGTGAACGTTGACTATAATTGTTCAATAGGTATACCAATGGAATCTCAACTACCAGTTACGTTAACACCTGTCAACAGCATCTGAATCATAAAAACAAAAACAATAATTGCTGAATTAAAAGACTATTTACATTTGTGAGCGTAGTGTAATAGTATAAATCTACTTTTTTTCCAACCAAATTCTCAAATAATTTCGTAGTCTCAGTTTGATCTACCGGTCGGGCATTTAATGACGCATTTGGCAGTGCGTTTTTAATATTTTGTGACATTTTTGCTGCATAGCTTTGTCAATTTATTATCATCAGAAGCTGCTTAATTGGTGGCTAGTGTTGGCGGCTTTTCAATGGCCCGTGGTGCACAGCTGTGAGGACGTGAACCTCATAACCATGAGGTCGGAGGCTCGAATATGCCACATTTCAAAAATTTTATTCAAAGTTTATTATTCACATTTTCTTATTTCTCTTTTAATGCTGCTTTTTGTCGCGCAATCGCCTGTTTGAGAAATGCTTCACAGCTTTTCCCTATTTTTTTTCATCGAATAAATGTCATTTCCAGTTGATTTTAATAGAACCTCGAAGCATGCCTGATGATCTGACAAAGATACCTTAGTAGTTAGCGTGCATTATGGAGTTTATTGGCTATTTACGATCTGATGATGCAAAACATTAGGTCCTCTCTGTCAGGTCAGCTACAGTGCTTCGATTTCCGTTATCCAGTTGCAATGCAAATTTTGTTCTGAAGCTTTCCATTTGGACGGTCTGTTTACACTGGCGTCAGCTTAGTGTGTTTTTCTGACCTTTTTTTCTAATTTAGTTAAATAGTTAATTATTGTTCATTAAAAGTGTTCACTTATTTGGAAATTTCACTGTAGCAGTAGAAATTGCAAAGCATCTGTTCTCTGCTTTATTTGTGACTAGTATTTAATCTTCTATTTGCTAATGAGCTTCCGTGACTGAGTGGTTAGTGTCTGAGACTCTAAATCTCAAGTTCGCAGGTATGAATCTCAGACGTAGCCGATTTTTAAAGCACTCAATCCTTATCACACTTTTATGTTGCTCTATAATATCTGATTTGTAGAATGATAGAAATTTTAAGCATTTCTCTACTCAAGTGGATCATAGTGTTCTACTACGAAGAAACTTTTTCCCAACAAAAGCCGCAAATTAATGTTTTCATTTGGTGGTATATTGCCAATCATAGATAATAGCAGCTGCTGCTGTATCGGTGGCTAGTGTTAGTTTGCTTCAAAGTGACAGTATCTCAGATGTCAGGACCTGAGACTCCTAACTTTTAAGTTGAAGGTTCAAATTCGGAACTTTGAAATAGTTTAAGTTTTTTATTTGATGGAACTTCTTTTGCTGCATAGCATTGGCAATTAAATCGCTACAATTGCTGCTTTATTAGTAGCTAAAGTTGTTTATTTTTCACGAGATCTCGGTGCAGATGAGAAGGCGTGAGACTCCTAATCTCGACGGCCGAGTGAGGATTCCGGCACATTGCAAAACTTTAAGTTTTATTTATACCTTTTTTTCCTATTACAACTTATTTTTGATTTCTTTGGGTTATTTTTATCAAAAGAAGTATTTACATTAGTTATTCGTGAAATTCGGATGTTGAAACTCAGTTCTTTTTCTGTTTCATTGCGTTCATGATTTCTTTCCAACTGTTTATTTTTTTGCATTGCTTACTGGGGTTCGGAAACTCTGTGCTACTTTCACAGAAGCGTTCACGATATTGCATGGTAGAGGTTTTATTTGCAGTCATCTTTCATGGTATAGAAAAACCGGGACAAGTCATGATCAATAACAAAAGTAGTTTTGTTGCTGTGGGTATCAAGTGTATCTTCAGTTTGTTTCGAGGCAAAGTCTGTTCACGTTCTTTTTAAGTTCTAGCTGAATGAAAGGTAGATTATGTTCGTCAATAACTAAATTTCTACAAGTTTTGGAGATTCAAAAATTGAGATGAATTGTTTAAAAGTGGGCTTCGGTATCGAGGTTTTCCAGTGAAAGATAAGAACTCGAATCCCAAAAACTCTCATTGATAAATGATGCTGGAAATTCAAGGAGCTTTATAGGGGTGCATTTTTTTCTTCTTAATTCGAAAATTGAAATTTGTTTTGAGTAATTTTTTTCGGCTTTAGGCTTTGATTTTTCTGTTTTGAAACGGATATAATTTACGCAATCTGGTTCCATTAGTTTGTACTTTTTTCAATGATGTTTGTGGTTTTTTCCCTTGTGTTTGCGAACTGCAACTTCTTTTCTGTATTCACAAATTGTGGTTCGAACGACGATGCGCTTCAAAAACCAATGGCTAGTTTAGAATAAATAGTCGAGTGTTGCTAAAACCTTTTCAGATGTCACATGAGCATGATCCTCCGTAGTACTCGCGACACCCTCGGCCTCGCCCGGACGAGGAAGTTCCTCCTGGGAGTATCCGGCTCCTCGATTCTAGCGTACTCCTCCTACCATCTCCTGTTAGACTCGAAAGAGAAGAGGAAAGTGAGAGTGTACTCGTCTGGGGTGAGGAGGTTTGCCAGGATGGTCTATCTGGGAGTGAGGGTGTTAGCTGACGCCCAATACAGGTCTCTAGCTCTTCCTTTTCTCATCTCTTCCTTTCTGCTGTCTCTTAGTTTAAACCATGTGTCATGGATAATGCAGTCAAATTATAGTTTGAAATTGAATGAACTCTCCGT